ACAGCTCCCGGTCCTGGTGTTCAGCCTCAGCGCTCCTTTCTGTTGTATTTATAACTCTCCATTTGCCCTACTTCCTGTCTACTGGCTTTTGCTCTTTTTAGCCAAAGTGTGGACAGCATAGCATTTTCCTCCTTTGGTTAGAGATCCCCTATGGTCACATAGCATGTGCTTCGACCTCTTTTTTTTTTCTTTATTGCTGCCATTTGATTCAAGGCTTTAGTGAGACCTTTTGACATTTCTCCCCCAAGTTTTCCACTTACCTTACAAGGTAACAGCCTTTTTAAAGCTTTGCAGAGTTCTGGGCATGGTAGATGAATCACCTCTCTGCTGTTTATGTGTTTGAGTGCAATGAAGGCTTCTGACAAGAAACAAGTCTCCCCAAGCCTGGCATTTCTGACCAATTTCTGCAGCTGTTCAACAAGCTCATAAGCTTTATGGAAAAGTCTGTCTACTCATGATTCTTTTTGGTCCAATAGGGTTCATGGTTGTGGAAAGTTCTTGTCTAGCATCATGAATAATACACCAAGGAAAACAGACTGTTATCTGGTTTTTTATTTATGAATCTTGGGTTTTAGCAGTAAAATGGAGAGTTTGATTCTTCTAGAGAAGGAATGTCATTTCCATACGTGTCCACACTAAGCCTGTCCTGTGTGCAGCTCCTTAGGAAGCCAGACCCAGGGTCACAGCCCTGTCCCGTTCCCTAAAGGACCAAGTGGTGGTGCACTGTGGGAAAATCTCCAACGATTGGTTGAGTTCAACCCTCATCAGAAAGGAGCTTTGCAAAAGCTCTGAAGACACACACAGGTAGCTTCTTCTACACTTCACCACCTGAGCCTTTCCAGGTGATGGCCACCACAGAACGAAGTCATGTTTTAAGAATAAAAATTAAGCAAACACAAGCTGTGAGGCTGCTCAGCCCACCAAGCTTTTCTAAGCTGTGCTTCAACTGTCCACTCTGCTGTCCAACAGCGACTCAGAGGTGACAAAACAATCCACCACCGATCAAAGACCCGACCCATCCTGAATTGGTGAAGACCACCATAGCCCAGCTTTGGAAAAATGAGACCCAAAATGCAAGAGCCCTTTATGCCTTCATTATCAAGATAACTGGGAAAATCTTGGTCCCACTTCAACTGGCCCACAGACGCTTGGCTGGTACGATTGTTTCCACTCTCCTGGAAGCTTATAAACAAACTAGGAATGATCTGTCTTTGTTGGCAGAAGCTCTGCAGTGGTTCCTTGGAACCAGAAAGCAAGGGTATCTGCCAGGCTCTGACGGAGCCCACAGCTATGCGCTGCCTGGCTCACCCTCACTGGCAGACATCTGTTCAGATACCTGAGAGCCCAATGCACAGAAGCCGCCTTGGGCCCAAGGATGGGTGGACCTAGCAGAGACGGCAGACCCTCTTTGCAGCCTTCTCCATAGACAGCCTCTGGGTTAGACAGAAAAGGAGAAATTACAGAAAAGAACTAAGCTCCTTCCCTCCCCATTCACCAAAAAAGCTGGCAGTGTTCAATATACAGGACAAGGCTCTTGGAGTGGATGATTTCAGTTAGGCGATGGTGTCCTCATCATGGACAGGCCAGGCTCCAGCAGCTAGTGATGGCAGACCCAACTTAGCTGTCGTTGGGAAGAAAAGCCAAAGGAATGCAGTGAGGGTGCAAAGCATGTGGTCAATGGTACCTCAGCTACTCCACCTCTGACCTTGACTCCTGGCATTGCTTTCCTACCGTGCCCCTGCACACAGCAGTCTGCCTCCAAGTTCAAAGCTTACATCACTCCTGATGAGTCTGTTTTCACTGCACAAGACCTCCTCAGATGCAGGACCGTATTTCTTATCGATTTGTCTGTTTTGTCTTACTTAGAGAAGCAAATTTAGCAATTCTGGAACCAGGGAAGAGAGTGTATGGTGATCAGCACAAAGTTTTATCTACTGCTCTTAGTCAAAATACTGCCTCCCAATGAGCCTGTGATAGCTTCTCTTTCTTCCATTTTCTGCTTTTCAGGTTTTATAAATGAAGGTTTGTAGTCATCTTGAGAACTTCTTCAGCAATCAAGTTAACGCAATCCGCATAGGAAAGTAGGTTTGGGAGAAGTTTGAAGAAAAAAAAAATTTTCCTTTAGAGACAACTTGTCTGAGACTATGTGACCACAAAGTGTTGGAGCCTGGCCTTCACCTCAGAGCTTTTTGCCTCCAAGTTCAATGTCATTCCCACTTCATCACACTGTGTCCCCTATGATCGTATTTCCCCTGCTGTAGCGCTACACCCCTCCCACGGGCTTATCACAGAGATGGGTGCTGGAATTCAAAGATTAATAAGACACCTTCACCCTCGCACTCAGGAGCTCTCAGCCCCATTGCAATGTGGGGCAGGGGACAAAGCACCTGCCAGGAGTTAGGTACAGCTATTGCCTGAGCTAAATGTGAGAGATAAGAGTCATCCGAGAAGCAAAGGCAGCTAAGACAAATGGGATGCACAAGGACCCAGCCTTCCAGTGTGAGCCTGCACAGAATCACCAGGGACATTTGCAGAGTTCTAACTGGTGAAGTCATAGGAGGCCTGGGAATGGTGTTGCTAGAACACTCTCAGGTGATGTCGATGCTGCTGCCCTGGGACCACATTTAAGAGCCACTAGAATGGGAGCCTAAACAGAAGAGACTAGGCAAAGGCATGGAGACCAGCATTTCTCCCTGTATTAGACTAAATGCTCAAGACATGGCTGATATATAAGCTGATTGATGTGCATGGTTAGGAAGGGTGTATTGTCTCTGTCCACCATTTTGTTTTCTCCTCTCCTTTCAGCAGCCCAAACCCCCAACTAAGGGCCTTAAATAATGTCTGCTTCTCTCTTTACACTAATCTATCAGAAGTCTGTATAAAGTAATTACATTCATATGAAGGGATTCTCTGTATTACCACTACTACCAAAGAGGAATTCCTAGGAAAAGGATAAAGATTAATTCAGAGAAACTAAACAATGATGGAAAATTCTCAAGCATCAGTGGAGAAGAAATGTGGAGGCATGGCCCTACTGAACCCACATTAAGACACAACAGGACAGTGTCTGCTCCCTGGCTTTGGCAATAACAGTAGAGACAGAATTAAACCAGAATAAGTCAATGCATATCACAGCAGCACTCTAACAAAATGCACATAATAATATTTAGTGTCTACTCGGTATTATGAGACAAATTCTCGATAGTTTTGTATTGCAGCATGCTTCATTGCTTTATTTTTCTTCTGCATTTGCACTACTTGTTATATGTTTGTTAACAAACATTTGAAAATCTGTGTTGTATCACTTAATCCAGATAATGGTTCTGCCAACTCAGCTGGATAGCTGTTATCTTTCATAAGAAAAAGGATTTCATCTACAGAAGCTACTTACATGGAATCTGTTGTATGCATGGCCTAGATGGCTTTGAACTTGGGCCTTTTAGCGTCTACCCTATTACTTTGTCACTTTCCCACCCACAAGCCTGTAACTAAAGAGACTAGTGAACATCAGGACCTACCCTGTTCCTTCACTGAGAAATTTTCCTGTAGGCAAATGTTTTAAAAATCAAAAATGTGCCGAGAAACAGACCAAGCAACTGTCAACACCAGACAAGGGACAGCATGACTCCGCAGTGCAGTGTGAAAGGAAATTCTTTGCAAAACCGATACAGGAGCAATTTCAAGCTCATTTTTAAACAATAAAATGGAATTCCCATCACATAAGACACAAAACTTGATCTCTAAAATGAACCATATTGTATTAGTCACTTTTCCATTGCAGAAAGAAAGCACTTGATGTGCACAACTTAAAGGGCAAAATGTTTATTTTTGCTCATGGTTTCAGAGGGTTCAGTCCATGATCAGCTGGCTCCAAGACAAAAACAGCATGGTGGGAAGGGATGGTAGAAGAAAGCAGCTCAACTCATGGCAGAGAGCAGGAAGGGGCTGGGGAAAAAAATACACCCTTCTGAGAGACACTGCCAGCACTACCTCCTGCAAACAGACCTGCCTCCATTCAGCCATGAACTCATCCATAGACGGATTCACTAGTGAGTATGGTGGCCCCATGGTCTGATCACCTTCCAATAGGCCCACCTCTGAACACATGAGTGTTTGGTAGGCATTTTAGATATAAACCATAATCCACACCCATCCATTAATATATCACTTAGAGAATAAAATTCCTATCACCAAATAGGAAAATACATATTCCTATGTTAAAACAATGGACTTATATTGAAAATAGATGAAGAATTACAAATCAGTAACAAAAAGACAGAGAAAATAATAGAAAAAAATATATGAGCAGATTATTTACAAAACAGGAATTCCTAGTTATCAATAAGTACATGCAAAAACTTATTACCTTGTTAATAATTAATGACATCCAGATTAAAACTATGAGGTACAACTACACTTCTAATAGATATTCAAAAATCAGAATTGTGCCTCAGTACTAAACATTCAGAAGGTTGTAGAGAAAGCTGAATTTCAGTAATACTGGTAATTTAGACTGATAATAAAAACTTCTGAAAGCTTTTGATATTTTCCAGAAAATTTGAAAGTGCTTACACTTTGTAGCCAAGCAAGTCAGTATCTGAATATACAAAGTTATGTACCCCAGAAAAGAATCATAAGCAAATATATGAGATAGTAGTCAAAATACTCAGAATTTGAAAGCATCCATATATCCATCTGCATTAAAATGGGTAAGTTGTGATATTTTCATACAATAAGGCAATACAGAGCAAAGAGAATAAATACAATACAATACTGTGGATGAGTCCAACAAAAGTAATATTAAATATAAATGAATTTACGGTGTAATTCCACCTCTGTTGTATAAAATCAGTATGAGCCTTACGTTGGTAAGGAGCACAAAGGGAGGCAATGCACTACAAAGCAAGCCAGGCATTGCTTGTATATTAGTCACTTTCCTGTATCTGAGATAAAATACCCAACCCTCCCAATTTTAAGAAGGAAAGGTTGATTTTGGAAAGGAAAGAAGGAAAGGGAACTTAGTCCAAGATCGGCTGTCTCCAAGGCAGGAACAGCACCATGAAGACCTGGCAGAGGACAACTGCTCATGCCATGGCAGCCAGGGAGCAGAGAGAAGGGAGGAGCCAGGGACAGGAACACACCCTCCCGGATCACCCCAGGGACCACCTCCTACCAGGCCCCACCTTCTAACAGCTCAGCCAGCCGTGAACTCAACAATGGATGAATCCACTGATTAGTACAGCACCTCATGGTCCACCTCTGACACAGGAGACTCGGAAACATTTTAGATCCCAGCCACAACAGCTTGACACAGATGTTTAGGGTACTGATCACACAATGGAGAAAGTGATGGTGCCATGACAGAGAAAGACCACAAGGGCATTTAGGCTGCCTTCTGCCAGGACGGGCTTCCGGGCCTGCACATGCAAAGCCTGCTCTCAGAAGACCCTGCTCTGGGCTTCATGCTCTGCTGCTACTATCTTGAAATTATTGATAATTTTTAAGAAGGACCCCCATATTTTCATTTTGCACTGGGTGACCCCAAATTCCAGACCTGGTTTTCATTATAAGGTATTTGCTCTATAAACTGTCCATTAGGGAATGTGTTATATTTCAAAAAACGTCAGAAAAACGTTACTTAACATGATTCGAGGTATGGGAAGTGTGGATTCGGGCACAGATATGGTACCAATTATGAAATTGCATAAAATGTCCTGAAAAATTTATCATGATCACTTTTTCACTTTTCTTTTCTTGGCAAAAGCCCTGGAAATAAGATGTGTTACTTCTTAAACTCTACTAATCTGTGAACCACCCTTTGCATCTCAATCACAGGAATTTAATTCAATTTTCAACCTATGATTTTTAAATACATCCTCATCACCTCCACCAGAGAAACTGAAATTCTGCCATGCTCTTTGCTATATACATATATATTTTCAGAACTTCACACATTTTCTTTGATTTGCATTCTTTCATAATTGAGTGCACTGATGTTTTGCTTAAGAAAGAATCCAATTGTAGTTAAAGATTTTTCACTTTGATACACTGTAATGGACAATTCCAGCAAAGACAGAGAGCCACAGGTTCTAAGAAGCTCAAGTTTATGTTGGGGCCCCTTGAGGAAACACAGAGTTCCATCCATGTGTCTTCATTTCTGGGCACACGGCTCATGTCTCTTCCCACTTAAACCTCGGTCTTCATGGCCCTATTTGCCAATGTCATGTCTAGGTCCTCATCTTTGTGAACACTGTCTTGCATCCATTCTGGAGCAAAATGGAAAGAAAGTTGACAACATGAAAATCAGAAGAAGAGAGAGAATGTGGAATCTTGAAGACTGACCAGTAGCCCCCATTAGCCAAGTTATTGTTCAGCCTTGGGTGGTTTGGGAAGAATGAGTTTGAGAAAGGGCGTCACTCACTGATCAGGTGACTTTCACCCAGAGAGAAAAGAGAAGAGGCCACTGCAGCAGGCTCTACCCTGAGGGGAGCCACAGGGTATGGGGCCAGGCCTTTGGTGCACAAACTACTTTGGCAAAACAGAACACTCTGACCTCACAGGTAGGTCTGGGCAGGAAGTCTCAGCCCTCTGAGGTATGCCAGCCCACACAGATGTCTGACTCCACCACCCACATCCCTATTTCCCCCTGAGGACCATCACTGCTTTCAGCATTAGGCAGCTCTGTCTGGTCCCATTGTAAGCCAGGTCCACTTGCCTTAGTCAGCTTTCTGTCACTGTGACAAAATACCTTTAAAAAAATCAACTTACAAGGAGAAAACTTTTCTTCTGGAGCATGGTTTCAGAGGTTTCAGTCCATAGTTCAGTAGTCTCGCCATCTTGGTCCTGTGGCAAGGCAGAGCATCGTGGCTGGGAGTGCCTGGTAGAGTCGAGCTGGCCACATCATGGAATCTGGGAAGGAGAGAGAGACAGGAAAGGGGCAGCCGCCCCATGGCCCCTTCACAGATGCACTCCCAGTGACTTAACTTCCTCCAACTGATCCCCACCGCATATATGTCCCACCACCTTCCAGTGGTACCACAGGCCGGCCACCAAGCCTTACAGACAAGAGTTTTGGGGTCACTGAAGATGCAAACCATAACACCCCCCTGAAATTCAGTGGGCCAAGGCTCACAGGAGATGTTGGCACAGGTAGGCTCTACACCCCTTTGAGTACAGCAAACTGAACTATGACAGTGGTAACCGCCATACAGTGTATTTTAGTTACTTTTCTCTCGTTGCTGAGAAAAAATACCTGGCACCCAAAGTTAAAGGAGGAAAGGTTTATTTAGCTCATAGTTTGTGGGGACTTCAGTCCATAATCAGTTGGCTCCAAGGCAGAGTGGATGGCAGAGGGGCCTCACAGAGGAGGAACACCATGGGATGCCAGAAGGTAGCAAAAGCAACAAGGGGCCCTAACAGCATTTTCCCCCTTTTTATCCCATCCAGACTCCCGGGGTTAGGGCGGTGCCAAACTAGTCACCACTCAAGCATGGTGGTTTAGTCACCACACGTCCTTAACCCCAGCACCACACATTCCAGATTCACCCTCCTCTAAAAAGACTGCCTGAGACCTCGGGGAACATCTACTCACAGAAACAATGCTGTACATACCCTTCTCAACCAGGGCTTCTCCGGGGACAGTGGATTCTCAGGTCTTCCCTTTATTTGTTTTGGTGTTGTCGATCTTTTCCAAGTTTGGATCCCAGGATCTTCAAGTAGAAAATGATCGGGAAAAGGTATGCACTTATCTTAGGGCTGATGAAAACCTTCTCTTGCTGGACTATCAGCTGCGCAGAGCAGACTTTGCTACCCCTGGAGCAATGTAGGGCAGGACAGGCCCCTCATCAGAACACATCAGAGAGGGGAGGATGGGCCCCAACACTGGCCCAACCACTGCCTCCAGGAGCCACACGGATTGGGAGCAAGGCTGGAGACCCTCCTGCAACTGCTTCTCACTTAACAGGAATTCGATAACAATCTCTAAGTTCTTCCCATCCTAGACGTTGGGACAAAGATTTTCCAGATTCTCTTTGTCCCAAACAGCAGTGGATACTTGAACAGGACTATGGTTCACACCTACAAGTGGGTGAAAAAAACAAAAGTGTGTGTGTGTGTGTGTGTGTGTGTGTGTGTGTGCATTGCTCTGAAAGAAAACATCTGCCCAAATGGCACAGGCTAGAACTCGGTGTGGCAGGGTGACCTGTACTTTGCCACGCGGAGCGTCTATAGTGTCTAGGGTGAAACTGTGGGAGTTATGAGGGGGAGGAAAACAAAATAGAACAAGGAACTCACAGAGTTTGGCAGTTTATACAATTTTCTGTCTCTAAAATCTTTAGTGATATTACAAACAGTTCCGGAAGACTGGAGGCAGCAGAGGGGAGGGAAATGTTTGGTGAGATGAGGCCTAAAAATTCTCATGTTTCACCCTAAATTCTGCTTCCTGGGCCACAGAGGACGCACGGAGGGTGGGCAGATGCCGTCCTTGTCCTCGTGGCAGGAACAGAAGCTCCAGATAGTAAGAGTGGCCACAGCCCTGTCCCGAGGTTGTGGCCACCTTCGGGGCCTCACCCCAGCACCTGGGAGAATGGAGCTTGGCTTGGCGGGCCCTGGTGCTCAGATGTATGACCCGGGCAAGTGCTTGGGTCTGCCGCTTCCGTATAGCCGGCTCCACTTCCAGCCCTCCAGAGGGTGGAGTCAATGCACACAAAGGACTCAAAAGGGTGGGCGGTGCAGAAGGAGCATTGGGCAGGAAGGAGCCAATTCCAGCTGCTCAGCTCCTCCACAGGTCAGTGCTTAGGCTTGGAGCGAGCCTCCCACACCCACAGGGCACGTTGACAGCCAACAGCCACAGCTCAGTGCTCCCCTCACCGCCCTCCCCTCGCATCAGCCAGCCCACCAGCTCCCTCACCCGCCCGGGACAGCAGGCCCAGCACCTTAAGGCAGAGACGCAGCATCCTGCGACCTTTCCCTTCTGCCAGTCTTCACCTCCGCACTGTCATCCTACACTTCGGGAGGATCCCAAGTCCAAGGCCTACTGGACAACATAGCAAATGCTTGTCTCCAGATAAAAAGTAAAGAAAGGGCTGAGGATGGGGCTCAGTGTGAAAAGCCTCAGTAAATTATAAACAAACTAAATATCTCAGAAGCGTTTTCCCCTCAAAAATGAGACGGGTGAACATTCAAATGATTTCCAGTCAAATCCTGACTCTTCCATTTTCACTCGGCCTCAGTTTTCCCCTCCTGGAAAATGGGAGGACACAACTGGAATACTCTTGCGGGCTGGCTGCAGGGATGAGATGAGGTCAGGTGTGGGTGTGCACTCGGTGGAATGCAGGTCCGTTGTTACATGGATAATCCTCAGTTCACGGCCTACACGTCTATGCCTCATCAGATGTATGGCCTGCCACTCGAACTTAGGACCGGTCGTTTTTGTACAGTTCTGTACCTCTTGTTGCTAGAGCCTCAATATCTTTCTTATTTCTAGTAGACCTTGTTTGTACAGTGCTCACTTAGGCTGACTGTATGCACCATACAGTGCTGTAGCTTTATGCTCTGTTACACATGACGGCACTGCATGGAAGAGTTGTGCACATAAAAGCAAAGTCACAAGTTGGAGTCTCCTTTCCTCACTTCTCTGTTCTGAATACTGTAATGTGCACACTGCATACGATGCCTCATTGACCCACCAGCATAACTGACGACCTAATTGCAAGAAGGGGACTCGGCAGTTAAGCGACAGGCAGTTAAGCGAGGGGCAGTTAAGTGAGGGGCATCTGCACCATAGGGCTGAGCACCCTCTTGCTCTCAGGCCATTGTCCTTTCACGAATGAGGACTGGGTCTCTGTCTCGACATCTGCTGCACTCCTGGCCTCATGTCACCCTTGGTCGCATTAGGTTCTGACGTCACTAAATTGAGCAGAACGTTTAGGTGATCCATGCTGTCCTGTACATGGCGGTCACTTTGGCCAGCTTCTGAGGGACCTGTGACCCCAAAGCAAGAGGCAGAACCCTGGGAGAAGTTCTCAGGCATCAACACTGTACCACATGCCCCAGGGAAGTCAAACCCACAGCCAGAGCTGAGCACGCGACTCCTGTCACTCGCTCCCTACTCACCAATTCCCCACGGCCTACTCGGGGCTGAGGACACCAGCAGAAGCTGCAAAGTCTCAGGTGAGCAAGAGCATGCACAACCTTATAAGCTTCGCCGGTGATCATCTGTCAATCATTAGCACACGAGTGTGCGCCCTGGGCAGAGCCGTGTGTGCCGAGGACCGCCCTGGACTGAGATGCGTTGCTGCTGTAGATGGGAGCTAATTTCACAGGAGGGGCAGAGCTGGGGGGATGGCCTTGCATGGACTGAACCTCACGGTTACCCTCAGGGCGTATCCAGGATCGCAGTTACCCATCACTGATACACGTTCTGCTCCGTGGTGCTAGGTGCAGACACACATTCTGTGACACACGTGTGTGTCCCACTGGAAGACCTGCTAAAGGAAGGCACAGGCATCTCCTTCATTCAGTGGCAGGGACCCTTCCCTCCTTCCTCATCTCCAAACTTCAGACTTTCTTCACACTCGAGCTCCGGAAACCTTATAGAGGAGGTTCTATCCATTGATGAATTTTGTGCCCAAAATTGTGACCCAACTATGAAAGATTTCCTTTTCCTTTTTCTTTCAGATCATTCCCCTTATTTTTTTTAAAAAAATTGCTTCAAATTCTCTTCTTAGACAAGATGAGCAGAAAATAATTGCATCGAAATGCTGCCACTCTATAATTTCTTCACAACAAAGTAACCATGATTCATTTTCCTAATTCAGCTGAGTTAGACACGAGGAAGGGAAACGCAGATGTACGGGGTGCTTATCTTGTGTCAAGCAATTTGCTATGTGCTTTGCATATGTCATCAAATTATTTCTCCCAGCAGTCCTGTGATGTCTTCTTAACCTACCATCTGACAAGAGCAGAAGTAAAATGAGTCAGATACCGAGAGGTCTGCCACCTTCAAGAGGCCCAGCGAGGGACGAACAGGAGGTGCCCTGAGACCCAAAGTTTGCACCTCCCCTCTCCTCGCACTCACTGCTGGGTCACTGACAACCACAGCCCACACTCCCCACTTTCCACAGGCAAACCCTCACCTTTTCCCTCAGAGTCACGCACCCTCCGTTTAATAAATTCAAGCTATAACTAAGCAGTGCACACCCAGCTGCTGGGTGTGATGGGGAGAAGAGTCAGAAGTGGATTCTGCCTTTAAGGGAATTTGTTAATCACTGGAGCAGGAAAGCACATGCAGAAAAATAAAACCCAGCACAGCAGTATGACACTGTGCCAGGTGGGAAGAGCTGAGTGCGAGTCCTCCACTGAGCAGCACGTGGCAAAGGCCACGCTCAGATGATCCCATGGGAGAGGCTCCAGGGTTGGACAGGCGCGGGACCCAAAGCTCGGAGCCGAAGATAGAGAAAGGGCCTTAAGTACTTTGACCCTCCAGGCTGAGACTACAGGATGGCAGTGGTTTCCCTGGCCCAGGGCAGGGAGCTAATTCAGAGCAGGTATTTTTAAAACTTCCCCTGAGAGCAGGAGTCCAACATCCAAACTGCAAGTCCTGCAGCGCAAATATGGTGCAAAGAACAAATGAGCAGCCTGAAGGTCAGGGTGGGCTGTGCACATGGACAAAGAGGAAGTCAACAGGAGAGCAGGGATGCTCTCTCCCAGCCACGAGCAGAGAGTGCCCCGACGCCACCCGCGTTCAGTGGGCTGGGGGAAAGCAGGTGGGCCTGGCAGCTTAAGCCTCCTAAGGATAGTGTGGGTGGAAAACCAGGAGTGGCGGTGCACACCAGCAATCCCGGGACAGTGGGAGGCTGAGGCAGGAGGACTGCAAGATGGAGCCGGCCTGGTGTGGTGGGTGAACTAACGGGGCACTCAGAATGCCCAGCTGAACTGAGGCAGCATGTTCTGAACGTGGAAGGCCCACCCGAGGATTGTTCCCAACGGCATAAAAAGAGAACTGAAGGAGAAGATTGTGGACTGCTGATTTCTAGGAGAAGCTTGCTGCAGCTGGTTTTCCTGGGGCAAACTTGCCTGTTCTCGTCAGAGGAGGACCTCGGGCCTCACTCTCCCTGGGAATGGCTGCTGTTCTCCTCAGGGAGCTCTGGTCTTCAACATGAGCATCGCTTCCTGGCTCCAGGGCAGATGCCTCAGCCTGGGGTCTCAAATCCTTCTTCATCCCACTGGCCCAGGTTTTCTGGCTTCCACCACTGGCCTTTGGGCCTTCGGAGTGCAAATCCTCAATTCTGACTTGCATGAGACACTGCCACGGCCTCCAGGCCTCTGGCTGGACTCACAGAGGACACTGCCTTGGACTCTAGGCCTTCAGCTGGACTTGTGTGGGACATTGCTGTGGGATCCAGGCCCTTGGCTGGATTCTTTAGGTCTCTAGTATGAGGCTAATCTCTTGCACTTCTCTGCATTTGACTTTTTGGGTGACTATTATAAAATAATCCTATAAATTATGTGTCCTGTATTAAATGTATTCCCTTACCAAAACCCTGACTACATCACCTGGGTACATTAGTGACTTAGGAAGATCCTATCTCAAAACAAAAAATAAAAAAGGGTCTGGGGATGTAGTCAAAAAATTAAAAAAATAAAGGATAAAGTAGATAGTCACTTGATGCTCTCATCTTAAGATCCTGGGAAAATGGGAATAGAGAAACAAGAAGAAATTCAGTGATTCAGGCCTCATTCTTAAACCCCAGAAATTCAGGACCATGCTTGACATTCCTCCAACATTGCTTCTGGGCAGTTGGTCTGTGTTCTTTCCTGTGGTTTCTTGTTTGTCTGTTTCCATGGTAATTGCTATTTAGATTCATCTCAGCTTATTTTCAATCGTTGACAAGTTTGGAGATGTTACTTTTCGGCAACAGAGAGGTTTTGTGGCTGATGTTAAGTAAAGAGTGAAAGGAGATCTATTTGGAGTAAAAAAAGTGGATTTAAAAGAAGGTAGAAAGACAACCTAAGTGCCACTTGGATTTTTTTCAGGGCATAAGTTAAACTATTAAAAACATCCCTCACCTGCAAAACAAAAATTACCAATAAAGAACAATCTTAGTCCAACACCAAAAGTGACGTTATTTGTTTAGTATTAATGCAAATATGACTGATTTCTGGCTATGGTACAGAGAATGTAAAATACCCTTTGCTGTTTGGTTTGTACTTGAGTATGTGAGTTGACTGATTTTCTAAAAGAATCTGACTTTTCAGTTCTGGATCATGATACAAAAGTGGCAGCCAGAATAACGTGACAAAATCGTCCTTTGTGTAAACGTCACACGCTGTCACTAAGGCCTGACTTCCTGAGTGCAGGCATTTCCCAAGAGCCCTGAATGATGAACCCAAGGGCATGTACGGGATAAGCAGAAGATACAATGAATGTTTACATTAAATCTTATCACTGTAAAGGATGCATTGCTAGGAGCAATGGGCAAGTGTGATTGAACACAAGAGTATGGGAGTATTCTGATTATTTTGAGGGAATTAATGACATTGTGTTTACTACTATATATATATATATATTTTTTTAGTACCAGGGATGGAACTCAGGACCTTGTGCTTGCAAGGCAGGCATGGCACCACTGAGCTGAATCCCTGGCCCAACTACAATATATTTTTTAATTTAATATCACCATATTTTATGATCACCTCTCATTTATAGCAATGTCTGTCAAACAGAAACATGATGGTGTGTCCTCATCCAACTTATTCACCAGATATGGCACTGGCTCTTCCTCAAAGTCAAAATGACCATGATAGGTCACTGTTTTCATTGATTCCGGAGACCAAGGCAGACACAACAGAGAAACTAAAGACAATCACAAAAGTGCACTTCCAGAATTGCAAAGTGAGGGTTAGTATTTTGATGGGAATTAATACCAATGTGTCTTGCATTGTAATAAATTTTTAAAATGTAAACTTTCGCCATCTTTTTTATTATACTTTATACATAAGAAAAATCCCCACCCATTTTGGACCATTCTTGCCTTCCTGGTGTGAAGTAGATATACAAAAGTCAGCTGTTCTTAGCATTTTCATAGTCTAGGGCAGCAAACTCTGTTCCAAGAAAATAGAAGAATGGTGTGTTTGGGAATAGAGAGGATACCGAGCTCCAAAGGGAGGGACATTAAAACCCACCCTAAAATGACAAGTGGGACATCAGGTCCACCTGAAAAGCTGCCCAAGAGTTCACCGCAACAACCAAGCAGCAGACAGTGCCTGACACGTGCTTCAGGGGCTTGGCAACTTAGGTCATGTGAATAACATGCCTGGACCCACAAGCCATCTCGCTACCCTAAATGCACCATGAAAGAGGGCACAGGCATTGGAGGTGGGGGTGACCCTACAGGGAAACTGACAGAACCACACTGAACTACTTTGCTTGCAGGACCCCAGGGATGTATAAGCAGCTCTGTGTGACCTCACACCTGTGTAAGAGACTTGAGGCCACCAGCCTGGCACCTTATGTAAGCCCACCACACGCCCAGACTGAAACACACGCCCAGGAACAGGGAAAAGTGGCTATTTTTAGTCCCAGTTCTCAGCTTGACCAGGGACTACCCCGCTCCAGCCTCAGCAGATGGCGAGCCAGGCAGTTTTGTCTGATGATCTAATTAGTTTTCAGCACCTCATTATCACCTCACAATGGAATCTAGAATAAAGACTCCAAGTGCAGAATGTTTACAGGGCTGCTTTGAATGCAGTGCAGAGTTCTTTAAGCTAAATTCTCTCACCAGAAATGGGCTCTATCCACTCAGGAGACATTTGAAGGAAATGAAGATGTAGGAGAAAACTGTTAATCAAGTAGCATGTCTCTCATATTGAAATGTTGTCAAAATGTGATGTGTGTTCCAGATAAAACACAGCTAAGCCACAGTTTGGACTAAAAAGAAACTTGGAAAGAGAAGATAGGAATTCTAGTCTCATCTCTGTCACTAACTAGCTGACTGGCTGAAGGCATGGCAGCATCTCTGAGCTCCATCCCCTTATCTATGGAATGAAAATGTTGGACCACAAAGATGAATGGTAGGATCCTTTCCAAATTCAACGTTCCCCTATTTTAATAAGATACATGCAACATCGCCTTGGGAACCATCTTTGAGCACTTAGCAAGATGTATTTTTTCAGATAAAATAAATTTTCACTTTGCTAAACACTAACAAGCTTCGCTTCAATAGTAGAATTGCTATGGCTGATCCGCCTGTGTGTGCAAATCCACCATGTGAGCTGGCAAACACCTGGCCAGCCGAGCTGGTGTGCAGGGAGGCTAAGCGACAGCCTCAGCGACACACTCAGCAGGGCGGTCACATCAGGGGGACTGCGAATGCCTGGGGCCTCCCAGGACACCAAGAGGCACTTGCTGAGCCTGTGAGGAGCTGGGGAGGGACAGATACTGTGTTCTCGGCCCTCGGAGTCTGGCTCCCACGCGGTATTTCAAAAATGTTGCCTAACAGCGTGACACTAAGTAGCCTTGCACCATGGTTAAAACACATCTCAAATGTAGGGTTCTCTGCTGGCATCAGATTTTTTCTGACATGATTCAGAAAATACTCACTTCCAATGTCTGTTGCCTTTAAGCTGTCAACACTTTTGACCTGCTGGATTCCAACATGGTAGGTACTGGCCATATGTGCCTGTGGAAATCTGCTTTAACTGATATGTAATGAAATTTCAAAGTCAGTTCCTCAGTGGCAACAGCCACATTTCAAAGGCCCAATAGCCATGAGCAGCACATGGGATGGGACAGCTGGGGAACATCTCCATCTTCTCCAAAAGCTCTTCTGAACATCAGTGTCCCACACTAGCCTTCGCCAACTCCGTGAAATTCCTCTTTGGTTTAACTTATGTGCATAACAAATGAAGACATCAGGAAAAGAAAAACCTGTATAAATACTTTCATAGTAAATTTATTGAGACATCATGAGATTAATACAAGTTACCTTTGGCCTCCACAATTGCCAGAGGAGCTCGGAGTAGGGGCCATTGGCTTAGTACAGTGAAGTGCTAAAGAGTGTGTACATTTTTTGATGGACTCTATTCAACTACATGTATGTGTTAATCCTATCAGATATTAACTATAATAAATATGAGTGATTTGAAGTAAAGTAACACAGAGAGTCCAACTGGGGCTGATGGCTTACTCCCCATCACGCATCTGAACCTGGGCAATGCCCCAGGGCCAGCTGCCATCCTTGTTTGGAGGCCCACTGCTTGGAGGCAGAGGTAAGACACATGTGTGTCAGATCCTCCTGCATCACCTGAGGTAACTTCCTTCACGTAGGTCAGAGGACAGGCACAGGAGACACAGCTGACGGGTCTCAGCACCCTGTCAATCACTTTGTCAAGCACGCCCTGAAACACCCAATGGGAGACGTCCCAAACCCGCACAACATTTTTAATTTTTAAATCCATGAGCTCAGCGCTGCTGCCATTTTCCTTTCTGTGGGTGCAAGCTCCCCTCACTCCATGCACACGGTCGCATCATTAACACTTTGCTGCTTTTTCCTTACCATTCCGTGCCACGTCCAATGTTTTATTCATGGAGCACAAGAACCTAGAATCCCCTCAGAGACACCATCACCTATGGCAACAAAAATATACTTTAGTAATTTCTTCAATTGTCTTTGGGGGAACACCAAGGGCTCGTAGCAGAATAAGTCCAAGCCCAACTAAAATAAATAAATATACATTTATCAGGTCAGAATTAGCTATATTTAAAAAGAAAAAAATAGTGAGCAATACATATTCTCTTCATTATTTTGTAACTTGAAATATCAAACTTGTTGCCATATTTTATGTATAACAGTCTCAATTTAACAATGGTTCAACTTTCAATTTTTACTTTATAGTGCAAAGGTGATAGACATTCGGGTGTTTTCCCAGCAGATGCAGAGGGTTATTCCCCAGGATGCTGGGCAGAGGCAGAGAACACACTTATCTTTCTGCCACATGCTCCACAGTGCACTATCTCTGAGATAAGAGGCACAGCAGCCTAGGTGCCCTCTTCCTGCCCCCCCCACTAGGGTCATGGCTGGCACCCCACCGAATGTCAGGCTAACAAGAGGAGAAGCACACATGCCTTCTGCCATGGCTTTGTATGAGTCAGGGACTGAAAATGCAAAGGCTCAGGGTGAACTCTTCATTTTTGTGCTCAGGCTTGGTGAAGCACAGAGAGCCATGTAGAAATGGGACTGGACAACAAGACCCAGAGCGAATAGTGGTAAAGCAAGTGGGGGACTGCAAGCCTGTCTTTCCTGGTTCTTCTGACCTCTCAGCTGTAGCATTTCTTTCTTCCAGGGAGAAGGCAGGACCTACATGGAAGGAGAGTCCAAAGTTCTTTATGGCCAACTCTTCCACAGAAAGGTGAGGGAAGTTAGAACAATATTTGTAGGTTTTATGGCTGTCCTTGGGGGAACAGGGCTCTGGTTTCTATGACCTACATCAGGCCAGAGGGATGGCACCTTCTATAGCTTCCCTTGGGGAGGAGAGAAGGGCAGGGGCAGACGGGCAGAAGGCAGTCAGGGAGAAACTGCTTTTGAGGCTGCTTTCAAGGCCCGCACTTTGGAGAAGCCTTCTCTGAGGCCCAGTGGTGTGCTAATGCCTCTTCAACATGTAATATTTTCAATTTATGGTGTGTATATTGTGATGTAATCCCACTGTAAGTCAGAGCCCCTGCACTTGTGTGTGTAACCTTCTCATGTGTACAAATGAGCTTGTAAATGTGCAGAAATATCAGGGAGGAACACTGGTCAGCAAATCCATGATTGTATCCTCTACCTTTCTAGAAGTGAGTATGTTCCTATTTTCATCTCTTACTGTCCAATTTCTTCAGGCTAGTGAAAAGATTGGCTTTGTTTGTCTTTATTGCTTTTTCTTCCCTTATTATGGAGGGATTTTTCCTTTTTCACTCCACTTTCTTTAAAAGGTTAATTCACAAGGAAAACAAATGCACTGATGACTATTTTGCCACAACCACTAAGACTTCATCTGAATTGATTTCTTTCTTTGAAAGACCTTTTCCTACATCTTCATTTAGGGAATTCTATTTGGAATGTATCAAGACATAGTTTTGATATAGGAATTGTAGTTACTAAGTACTGGTATATAAAATAAATGACATCAACATTACAAACAGGAACATCCTTCTCAAAATACTGATAGAGTTGTCCCTCAATATCCAAGACACCTTCCATTACTAAATTCTGTGGGTGCTCGGTCCCTTATAGCAAACCGTGTAAAATTTGCATGTAACTAATGACATCCTCCAGCATACTTTAAATCTTTGCTAGGTTACTTACAATGCCGAATAATATCTAAATATTATGTAAGAGGTTGTTATACTGAGCTATTTAGAGAATTAGGACAAGAATGAAATGTCTGTACTTGTTCCATATAGACACGTTTTTAAATATTTTTCATTCATGCTTGTTTAAATCTTTGAATATGGAACCCGCTGACCATGTAATTTTTGTAATCAGCTTCTACTTCTCTTCTTCTGGCAGTGATTGTCTGGTTTCCTCCTCAACAGCAGACCCACTGTGCCTGGGCAAAGGGTCAACTGGAAATGATCCACATGGGGATCCATAGCCATCAGAGTCACAAGCTCAGTCAACCCTGCAATGTGTCCCAGGCAGGACTGAGGCTACAGCTGCTGCCACATCCTGTGGATTCAGCCATGACAGAGGATGGGAGCAAAGGGAATGGGACAGACATGAGGTGCCAGCTGAGAATGGGCAGGCTGGGCATGTCTGAGCCCCTGCACTCTGCCAGTCTTGAGTCCAGAACACCTGCAGAATTCCCATGGAAGGCACTGCCCATGGACTATACAGTCTTTTCCAGATTCCACTCTGAAAACCTTTAGACAAAATCTCAACTTAGTAATAATTATTTGCAAATTATTTTTGAAAACTGACACATATTTTAACAGAGGAAAACTTTCCTCAAACTATCTAATCCGGAGTAGCACAAGAAAGCAGTGGTAAGATCCTGCTGTAATTAATAAGCGTGTTGTTAAGTGAATTATACAAGATTGAAATATTACCATGGGGACAGAACCAGAGATAAATGTCCTCATCTGGGCTGGGTGGAGCTCATAGGAGAGAACTACATTATAAAATCCTTTAATTTAAAAAATTACATTTCCAGGGCCTAATACTGTCAGAAAGACAAATAATCTGGCTCAATAAGGAATACAGATTTAGAGGATTGTACTTACAGGGCTAGTGCAGTGACCGTCCATCACTGTGAGGAGGAAGAGCAGAGCCATAGAAGCCGCATCCTGGGCTGGCTGCCAGAGTGAACAGCAGAGGCATCCTGGAGCCACTGAATTGGTGCTGAGAGCCCCTCTTCCCTCTCCGAGGTTCCCAGCCTTGGGAGACTCCCTCACGAGCGCTCTTGAACACAGGTCTCGTTATTCTTTAGGTAGAGTAAGCAGGAGACCGTCATTTCAGAAGGCCCTGGGACAGAGGGGCTGCCCCTAGTGGTGTTTGACGGCTGGGGACAGGGACAGGTGGAAAGCGGTGGGACTGAGAAGGCTGGGGGAGGTGGTTGGGGTCTGGGCTCCGGTTTGGCCGGTGCTATGATAAGTGCACCAAAGAGTGGTGATTTAGAGAACAACATCTAGTTCTCGTGGTTATAACAGCCAGGACACCCAAGACCAAGGTGCCAGTGGTTCTGGTGTCTGGTAGGGCCCACTTTCCTCGCTGCATCCTCATATGATGGAGAGCAGAGGAAACAATGTCTCTTCTCACAAAGGCACTATTCCCAGCACTCAGAGAGGCTGAGGCAGGAGGATCCCAAGTTTGAGTCCAGCCTGGACAACTTTCAACTTATACCCTGGTTCAAAAATTTTTTTAAAAGAAAATTAAAAGGTCTGGGGATGTAGCTCAGTGCATACGACCTGGGTTGCATCCTCACTGCTGAAAAAAAATGGCACTAACTCCATCAAGTGGCCGCACCTCATGACCTAATGACCTTCCTGAAGTGACCTGGAGACCCACATGGGCCAGCACATCAACTGCACCTCACAAAGGGTCGGGTAACAGATGCCTTCTGTCCCTCTCACTTCCTAGCTCTCGGAACCTGAAATTCCCTGAGTTCTCATGTGGACTCTGGACCCAGTGCCAGGAAAGAGGCCCTACCTCCTCCCGAGCTGTCCCCAGAGGGCTCCAACAGCAGAGTGGACCAGAGAGGTGGCCGGGCCCCCTCATCACCAGCGACCCCAGGGCCATCAGCAGCTAAGGTGGTCGTGAGGACTTACAGGCTGGGACAGCCCCGAGGCCCAGCGAGTCCCAGGCCTGAGGGAGACCAAGCGCCCAGTACCCAGGAGGAACCTAGCCCCACAGCACTCGGGGACCATCCTATCCTCTCTGACACTGCACACAGGCTGGAGAGAGACTGAAGCCAGGGACAGCAGAGTCTGGAACAGACCCCTCCCCTGCAGCTAGGAAAGAACTGCCCACCCTGTCCCTCCTCCCAGAGAAGACCCCTGGCTGTCCCAGCACATGTCCATCAAAACCCAAAAACCTGTGGGGTGTGGTAGCACACTCCTGTCATCCCAGCACTTGGGAGGCTGAGGCAGGAGGATAACAAGTTCAAGCCCAACCTGGGAAACTCAGGGACTTAGCAAGACCCTGACTCAAACTAAAAAATTAAAAAGGGGGCAAAGGTTGTAGCTCAGTGTGAAGGCCCTAGGTTCGATCCCCAGTACCACGTGCACACACACAAAAGATGCAGCCTCCAGCTAACAGTTGCCCATCCCTGATTCTCCAACCTAAGGGGAAAAATCCTCACAAACTAAAATGGAACATTTTTCTCACTCTGATGCACTCAGGCCCTGAGGAGACGCAGAAGGCAGGAGAGAAGCGAGGCCATTCCAGTGCTGTCGCCTGCAGGAGAGGCAGGTGCTACAGGGGACAGAGGCGTGGAGGCCATGGAGGTCAGGATGACCACAGGTTGCCTGCCAGGAAGCAGCCCAGATGGGCATCTGTCACCTGAGCATCTTCAGACTCCTGTTCCGAGATGTGACCTGCAGCCAGGGTGCTGAGGTTTACAGAATCTCTCTGGAGGCTCTGGGCCCCGCAGGTCAGGTGGACAACCTGATGAGTCACCACGGAAATTAATGGTGAGGCCGAGAAGGAGCTCTTTAACTCAAGATGTAGCAATGAAAAGGAGGTTGCTGAATATTGCTAAACCTGCAAACCTGAACGAGAAACTTAGGCAGTTCAGTGTTCACTTACACAGGACTATGATAATCCGTTGATATCCACAAAGACACCTTAAAATCCCCAAGTTTTGGGCACAAAAAGGTTTGCACAGTCTGCCAGCTTTGCCTGGAAACAGATTTCCATTAAGATCCATTCATTTAGGGGATTTCCTCACACCACACACTGACCATCTCTCAGCCCTGGTTAGGGTTTTTGTCTCAGTTAATGGGCACTGGGAAGAATTGTCTGGAGAACTTGATTCATGGTTTCTCTGATCAATTAATTGGTTTTCACTTGTGGGCTGGTAGCCAGTGTGAGGAACTTCAGTCCCATGCCCAGGGCTGGGTCCACTACCAAAGACTCCTGCTGTAGCCTTGAAGGAGTCTCCCAACAGTCAATGGAGATCCCCAAAGAGTTATCATACCCAGGAACATGGCACCTGGGTGTAAACTATAGCTCCCAAGGCTTGCAAAGCAGAAAACAATGCAGAATTTACAACCCGCTGCTTTCTGCAAAGCCTCCTGAACTCCAGCCTTTCCCAAATCCATTCACACTGTTGTTGTTCTGCCCAAACACATAGATGATTTGGGTACATTAAATCCACCCAGCCAGTCTCCGCTGTCTTTTTCTTTTTCACATGACTTGGAGTGGAAAGCACAGATAAAATTCTAAGAAACTGCTCCTCACCCCTGGTAGGTGAATTGTTTCCTAAAGCACATTGCTGTCACCCAGTGAGGCTAGGTTCACTGAGTACCGCTTCTGTGGCTAGTTGGCTGGGGATGATGTTGGAAATTGTGCTCTTTACACAACAAGATTCAACAGAAGGGAGAAAATCTCAATCTCTCTCTCAATCTCTCTCTCTCTCTCTCTCTCTCTCTCTCTCTCTCTCTCTCTCTCGGGAGGGGGTGATGGGTGGTGCCATAATCCCATGTGTTAGCCAACTTTCTGTCACTATGACAAATAACTGACAGAATCAACTTGGAAAGAGAAAAGATTGAATTTTGGCTCAGAGTTTGGGAAGGTCCAGTCCATGGGTTCTATTGCTCTGGGCCTGTGGAGAAGTAACCATTACGGCAGAGCAAAACTGCTCACCTCATATTGGGGAGAAAAAGAGGAAGAGACCAGAGTCCTCCCATCCCCTTCCCAGGCACAGCTCCAATAACCTAAAGACCTCCCACTAGGCCCCACCTCTCTGTGGTCTCACTGCCCCTCAGTAGTGCTACCTTGGGGATTAAGACTTTAACACACAGACTTTGGGAGACACGTGAGATCCAAACTATAGCCCCTAGGAAGTCAGACCCACATAATGGCCCCAGCTTACTGGATCTCAACCAGGCAAAAGTCCCAGTAGCTCTAGCATATCCCAACAGTCCTCCTCCACAGGACTGACCGTGGCCACCATCCTTGCAGTCCTGCCCCCCATAGCTCTGTAAGTGGCCCAGGACCACAGGACTCCTCACAGGCTGCACCTGTCCACTCTACTTGTTCTGATGGTGCAATGAGTGCTCAGTGGAAGACGTGAGCTGTGAGTATTCCTGCAGAATACACAGAGTGTGCAGCTGGCCCACTGTGTCTGGGCACCCAATCTCATTGCTTTTTAAGGCTTGGTAAGCTGCAAGCAAATAATTTCAAATATAATGATAAAATAGCTCTTGTGCATCTGCTTACTTTGGTGCAGATACTGTTCTGAATGTTTTTCAGACATGTAGTGTTTATTGCTCCATTAAAAACATGACAGGAATTAGATGAAATCACCTGAGGAGAAGATGATCACAGGCTGCCTGCATGGTGGGAGAGAGTGATGGTGCCTCATCAGGCCTTAAAGAGGAGCCTGCAGGAGGAGAAGGCTCTGACCACACATGTCCTGGGAGAGGCTGTTGTTCTCAATGGCCCACAGTTTGGCAGGGCTGAGGGCCACTGTACCAATCCCAAAGCAGTATTATCTTATCAAATGTGTGTTTGAATAACAGCCATGGTGTATACAGAAAAGGGTTCTAAGCCAGAACTCAGAACATCTGTTCCAAGGCAGAGTCAGACCAAACACATACAGCTCAGGCTGTGGGGTTCAGTAGCTGATGGGCCCTAATGAGCAGCACAGCGCTGTGTCTGTGTTCTGAGCTGCCGACCAGGAGATACAGAGAGCCCAACTGACTGGGACTTTCTTGCATTTCTTTCTTCTGTCCATTTCAAATGTTATTTTTCCTGCACAGCTATCCCCAGAACACTCTCACCAACTCAGCTGTTCTCATGGGGTGATCTCATCTTTTCCGTGGTTTCATCCAGTCATAATTTATATGGTAATACATCCTCAATAAGTGCACCCACTCTAGGCTCATCTCCCGAGTTTGCAAACTGAAGACTCAAGAGTTCAGTGCACAGGTCCCTTAGGAAGCACTTTGGACGCTCCAGTACTTCATGCTCCCAGTGCAAGGCTTGATCCTGCCTCTCCAGGTACCCGGCTCTTCCTCCTCTTCTCTGCCTTCCACATACATCATTACCAAAGTCTCACCACTTACCTGCCTATGTATCTCCCTCCACAGCTCTTTGCTTCTTTGACCTATTTACCTGACTCTCGTTCAGTCTTTCATCATTGCCTGCCTGTTTATTTCCACAACAACATTTTAACTTTTCTTCCTGCTTCCAGATTTGAGATCTTCAAATTTCCAGAAGGGTGCATTTACTAAATTGCAAGTCTGCTATCACAATCCTGTTTAAAATCCTCCTGTGGACACCCAGCACCCTCAGAATAAGCTTTGATCTGATTACCAATGTCCTTCTGGGTCTGTTCCCAATGGTCCCTGTAGCCTTCCCTGGATCCTGCCTCCCCTCTGTCCCCAAACACCCTGATGGAAATTCACTGCACAGATGCGGCTTGCTCATCCCACCTTCCTGCTTTGATGCTGCCTTCTGAAGCTCTGGTCAAGCTTCCTCCATCAAGACTCACCCCGTCTTTGCCTACGCCAGCACTGTAACAAGGCATGGTGGTGTCCTCACCCTCACCTTAGCTTCGCCGGCTGCTGGTGGCCCAAGTTAGAGGGGTGGGATACAGAGGAAATGCAGGCAAAGGAGACACTGTGCTCTCGGGTTCTAAACAGAAGTGTCAGGAGTGTTTAACATCACTCCTGTCTGTGGTAACTTAGTGGCTGACTCAAAACTTTAAAAAAGAGAAACTGGGCAATAAGGTTATCGGAGGTCTTTGGAAAGTTCTTATGAACTTCTGGGGCTCTGCTATGCAGAGGTGACTGAGAAGGACCTAAGAGAGTCCTGTGTGTTCACCTCTGGTCAATCTTGAGGCTCAACACAAGCGGGAAGTGAGCTATAAGGCAGAGCTGTAAGCTGTCTAAGCATTGGAGCCATGCTCAGAGAATTATTGGTTCAGTAAATTTAAGGAAATTATTTCCAGTCACCAGCTGATCTCTAGCTAACTGATCAGAAACTTCACTGGCCACAGAACAAAGAACACAGCCTTTTCAGAATTTGTTTGGGAAAGTCACTAAACAGTAGCAACAGATGTGGAGGCAGAAAAGACAAATCTAATTTATAGTTTCATCCATTATATTATTTTAAACTTCCAGTTTTCCACAAAATGTATACAGAGATACTGATACAAGATATACAGAGAAAAACAAAAACACGTAGAAACTAACATGGAGGAATCCAAAACTAGTTTGAAGAAAGCCAAAATATTGGATTCATAAGACAAAAACTTCAAATCATCATTTAAAACATGTTGAAAAATGAAGGCAAATGATGTCTAAAGAATAAAGACATGTATGAGAATGATGCCTTGTCATGGAGATTATATAAATAGAAATCTATACAGTCTCTTGTCTAGAGACTATAATAAATAGAAATTATTTTTAAAATAGAAATTCTGAACTTGAAAATTACAAAACAGAAATTGCAAAATTCACTAGATCTCAACAGGAGATTTGAACCAACAGAAGAAAAGTATTTGTAAACTTGAAGATAGGTGAATGGCAATTAGTTACTCTAAAGAAGAAAAAGAAAGAGGGGAGAAAATGAACAGAGCCTCACGGACCTGTGGGATACCACCAAACCTGTCCACACACACACAAAAGAGAACACCAAGAAGAGAAGGAAAGAGAGAGGTACAGAAAGAGTATTAGAAGATATTATGGCAACATCTCCCCAAAATTCCTGTCAAAATTAATCAGCACATCCAAGAAGTTCAATAAGCACCAAGTAAGATAAACTCAAAGAAACCCAAATCTAGACATTTCAGGGACTCTCAGAAACATCAAGATCAGAGTGACTTCTTATGTTATTAAATTTAATTAACAGCTGACTTTCCTCAGAAACCATGCAAGCCAAAGAAAGTGGAATAACATATTTAGTGCTGTAAGAAAAGATTGCCAACCTAAAGCTCTACATCTAGTGAAACTATTATTCAAAAGCAAAGGAGAAATTATGATATTCCCAGGTTAAGAAAAAAATGGAGAAAACTTGTTATCAGCAGATATTCCTCACAAGAAAAATACAAGGGAATCTTTCAAGTAGAAATATATAGAGCTCCACCTGAAGATAAAATCCATGGAGAAATAAACAACAGTTATAAAGGGTACTATAAAAGACAGTGTAACTATATTATTATTTATAACTTTTCTTCTCTATAATCTACAAGAAAACTGCATAAAACAATAATTCTTAAACTATATTTATGGAAAGAAAAGAAGAAACTGTCTATGTTCATAGATTTAAAAATTAATATTGTTAAAATGCCCATATTTTCTAAATTAATGGACAGATTCAATACAATCATCAACAAAATACTGATAACATTCTTCACAAAAAAATCGTAAAATTATAGGGGAGCATGAAAGTCCCCAATTAGCCAAAACAACCTTAAACAAAAAGAACAAAACTGGAGGCAACACAACCCCTGACTTTAAAATATACTACAAAGATATAGTAACTATAACAGCATAATATTGGCATAAAGCAGACATGTACACCAGCAGAAAAGTATTGAGCACCCAGAAATAACCCCATGCCTTTACAGCTGGCTGACTTTCAGCAAAGGTGCCAAAAGCATGCTTCAGAAAGGACAGTGTTTTCAGTTGATGGTGCTGGAAAAGTTTGGTATTCACATGAAATCAAAATGGACAAATACTTAGATATAAGACCAGGAACAACAGAATTAATGACACAGACATGGGAGAAATGCCTCAGGAGATTGGAATAGGGAATAATTTTTTGGACAAGATCCCAAAAGCACAAGAAACAAAACAAAAAGATGTGTACCAATTACATATCTTTGTTGCAATAGAAAAAAATTTAAATAAAATAACTCACTTAAAACTTGGCAACATGGGTTTGGGAGGTAGCTCAGTATCAAATCTCTTCTTGAATATGTTTGAGGCCCTGTGTTCAGTCCCCAGCACTGCAAAAAACACAAAATGGTCAATAGATCCATATAGACTTCTCAAAAGAAGACATACAAATTGCCAATAAGTTATGAAAAAAAAGGGCTCAGCACCTCTAATTATCAGGAAAATGAAAATCAAAACCTCAATGGGATATGACTTCACTATAGTAAGAGTGGCTGTCATAAAACAGACAAAGCATGATTCCTGGCAAAAATGTTGAGAAAAGGGAGTTCTCACACACCATTGCTGAGAATGTAATTAGTATTGTCATTGTAGAAAACAGTATGAAATTTCCCTGAAAATTAAAACTATGTGATCCAACAGCCCACTACTAGGATGTTATGATTTAAGTCTAAAACATCCCCAAAGTCTCCTGTGTTTGTAGATGGGATAATGATTAGATTATGGGTCTGGGGGTGCTATACTAATCATTGAGTTAATCCACTGAAGCTTTCACAGTTGAATGTGCTGTTAGGGGGTGAGGCCTTGTTGGAAGTAGATCACTACGGGTATAACCTGGATGAGTGTGTTCTCTTCCTGGCTCCTTCTCTCTCTGCTTTTTGAATGCCATTGGTCGAGCAGCTGTCCTCTGCCACACCCTTCTGCCATGACATTTCTACCTGAAAACCATCCATGAACTGAATTGTCTGAAACCATGAGCCAAAAATCAACCTCTCCTCCTTTAAACTGTGGATATCAGGCATTTTGTCCTAGCAATGGAAAAACTCCTAATTCATGGGCTATATCCAAAGGAAAGGAAATCAGCATGATGAGACCTCTAGACCCCCATGTACCCTGCACCAAGGTATGGAATCAACCTAAGTGTCCATCAACAGATGAATGGATAAAGGAAGTGTGCCACATAAATGCAATGGAATATTATTTGCCAAAAAAATGAACAAAATCTTGTCTTTTGCAACAAATGGATGGACCTCAAAATCATTTTATTAAGTGAAATGAGCAAAATACAGAAAGACAAATACTGCATGATCCCATTCATATTTGGAGTACAAAAGGTTGATCCCACGGAAGTAGAGAGTGGAATGGTAATTTCCAGAGGCTGAGGAGAGAAGAGAGGAAGGAAAGGCAGGAAGACCTTGATTAACAAGTGCAGAATTGGTTGCATAAGAGCAAGCAGCTGTACTGTGGTGATGCATGGTTGGGTGACTTGATAGCGCTGTGCTCTGTATCTCAGGAGGCTTCAGCAGAGGACACTGGAGAAATGACACAGACAGGGATACACATATGTGTATTACACTACACAGTGCATACATGCACTAAAGCATTATTATGTACATTTTTATGATTTTATAAATCAGGTTACAAGCAATGAAATGATAGTTTGAGACTTCAATACTCTAATTCCTAAATTTTTAGAAAAATAGATAGAAAGCAAGGAAATAGAATATTTAAATAATACTACGAGCCACGCTCACCCAGCACAGTCTGCTGTGCTCACGGTCCTGCAGGTGCACACAGGCATTCTCAGGGGCAGATCACATATGGGGACATATGCTTCAGCGAAGTTTGAATGATTGAAATTATAGCACTGTGTTCTCTGACGACAGTGGAATATAACTGGAAATAAATAACGAGAAAATGTTGAAATTCCAATAGATGTGTAAATTAAACAACATATTTCTAAGTAATCAATGAGCCAATGAAGAAATCACAAAACAAATTTTAAAACATTTTGAGATAAATAAAAACAAAAGCTTAACTAAACAAAATTTATGGAAAGTAACTAATACAAAGATTAAAAGTAAATGTATGGTTGGGGCCGGGGATTTAGCTCAGTGGTTTCTCCGCCTGCTGCGCAAGCGCAAGGACCCAAGTTCGATCCCTGGTACCAAAAAAAAAGTAAATGTATGGCTGTAAACACTGACATTAAAAATAGGAAAGATACCATATAAATAATCATCTAGACTAAGAAAACTAGAAAACTAAGAAACTAGAAAAATAGAAACAAAGTAGGAAGAAGAAAAAATAAAAATTTTAGAGAAAATAAATGCAACTGAGACTAGAAAAACAATAGAGAAAATTATTAAAACCAAAAATTGGCTTTTGTAAATATAAACTAAAACGAAAAAAAGAGCGCATTTGTGTTACTGTCAGGAAAAAGGATTTTACAAAATACTATAGAAAATCATATGTCTACAAACTAGATAATCTGGATGAAAATGTCAATTTCTTTTTTAAAAAGTAAACTGTTGATATGGACTAAACAAAAAACTTAAGAGATCTAGCTTGTTGAGACTTAGTAATACCATATTAAGCCAAAGATCTCACAAGAGAACAAAATTATAGACCAACATCCTTTGGGAGTATAGATAAAAATTCTCCAAAAATATTAACAAATTTCACACAGAAATATAGAGAAATGATTATATAAGTGCAGTTTATCTCAAAATTCCAAGAGTAAATTAACATTCAAAAATCAATGTAATTCAGCATATTAATAGAATAAATAACACATGATTGTGTCCAAAGACAAAGAATAAAAGCATTTTACAAATCTTAACACCTTTTTGTGATTAAAAAATAAAGCCTCGAAAAGCTAGAAAAAGACAGGAATTTCTTCACCCTGATAAATGTCATCTGTTTAAACTCACAGCTAACATACAGATGAGGGCAGAGGGTGAATCCTTCCCTAAGACTTTACCGCTTCTTTTCAAGATTTTACTAGTTAGGGAAATTAGACACAAAAAAAGAAATAAAATATATCCAGGCTGGAAACCAAGAAGTAAAATTTTCTCCATTCACAGGTAACACAATAGATAGAAAATTCTAAGAATCTAAAACACACACACAGAGACCAGACACTTACAAGACTAACAAATGTGTTAATCACAGTCGTTAGATAGAAGATACAAAAAAATCAATTGTATTTCTATACACCACTATATGAAAAGGAAATTAGGAAAATTACAATAGAATTTAAAAGAATAAAACATTTCAGTATAAAATTTTAAGTGCCCGCATCTTATCCCGCTCCAAGGGCGCTGGTACCCTAGGGGTCCCCCGAAGGTATGGGGGCAGTAGGTGCCCTGCTGAGTTCTGGTGTCTGAGGTGGGTGTTGGGGAGTCGCCTACTGCACTACATGAAAAGGGACTCCGGTCCATCCTGCGCTCCCCCCAATCCCTCTTGTCCTGTCTGTCCCGGGTGTCTGTCTGTGTCACTCTGGGCATGAGAGCCCCTGAGCAGGTCCTCCAGTCCCCAGCTTCCCAGGGCCCCTCCCTCCACCGAGGCGGGCCTGGAGCAGCTGGGTCAAGGCCATCAGGGGTCTGCCTCCCCCTCCTGCCCGCCTCTCCTTCCTCCCCTCTGCCTCCTGCCCCTCACCAGTGTCTCCACCTCCCTCCCTTCTTACCTGGCTCCTATGCTGTGATATATATTTTTGTATTATCTTTTTCTTCTTCTTGTGGTGATAATCTTGAATTCTTCTGGGATGTAAGTTTCAAAATTTTTCAAATAAAGCCTTTGCAAGATAAAAAAAAAAATTAAGTGCAAAACTCATGCACTGAAAACTACAAAAAATTCTTGGAAGAAATTTTAAAAGACCTAGTAAAGGGATTTTTTTCATGAGCCAGTTTCTCACTATGTAGCTCAGACTGACCTTGAACTTTCTATGTAGCTCAGACTGGCCTCAAGCTAGGAGAAATCAAGATCCTCCTGGCTCAGCCTGGTATCACAGGTGTATGCTACCATGCCTGGCCAAGGTCTGAGAAAATGGAAAGAAAGGCCATGTCCATACATTGGAATGCTTAGTAGTTAATGCCAATACTACCCAAAGTGACCCACAAGTGAAATGCATCTCTATCAAAATCCTGTTGCCTTTTTGCAGAAATCTGTAAACTGGTGTCAAAATTCATAAGGAAGTACAAGAAACCAAAATAGGCAAAAACAGTCCTTAAAATTAAAAAACCAAAGTGAAAAATTCACACTTCGTGATTTCAAAACTTACTGCAAAACTACAGCAGTAAGCAATGTTCTACTGGCATAAAGATAACATCTAGAGGGAAGGAGTAGTATGGAGTCCAAAATTAAACTTGCATGTATGATCAATTAATTTTTAATACAGGTGCCAAGATGATTAAAGAGGGACAGAATGGTTGTATATCTTTTCAACAAATGGTACTGGGAAAACTGGAATCCACATGCAAGGGTGCGGAGCTGAGCTCAGCCCCACACCACACTCAGGACTGACTCAAGGAGCAGGCACCCAAGTGTAAGAGCTGAGGCTCCAGGCCTCCTGGGGTGGGGAGGGAACAGGAGGAACCCACATGGCCCTGGGTCAAACCATGCTTCTTCCAGATCCGAAAGGAAAAATGGACACATTTACTTCATAAAAAGTGGTGCTTCAAAGGACACTATCGAAAAAATAAAAAGAAGATCTACAGAATGGGAGAAAGTATTTGAAAGACCATGTATCAGTAAAGATCAAGTATCCAGAACAATGCAAATAATTCTTATGACTCAAGAAAAAGAAAAGTAATGTCATTTTTAGTATGTGCTGCTGAAGTGAGCACAAGTAATGTTATTTTTAAATGGGCACAAAATTTGAATGCACATTTCTCTAGAGAAGGCCATCCATACACACACACACACACACACACACACACACACACACACACACACACAAATGGCTACGGGCCATATGAAAAACTGTCCAACAGGATTAGTCATTAGGGAAATGCAAATCAAAATGACAAGATTCTTCTGGGCGTGGTGGTGCACACCTGTAATCCCAGCACTCGGGAGGCTGAGGCAGGGGGATTGCCGGGTGTTGGAGGCCAGCCTAGGGTACATAGTGAGCTCAAGGATGGCCTGAACTACAGAGCAAGACCTTGTCTCAAAAAACAAAAAAAGACAAGATGCCATGTCACCTCCACTAGGACAGCTGCAATAAGCACAGTGCCAGAAGGACACTCACTCATTGTGGGTGGCACAAGAAACAGTGCAGCCACTTGAGAAGGCATCAACGGCCTTTGAAATGTTAAACACACAGTTTCCATACATCAGAGCAATTCTGTGCCTTGGCACATACCCAAGAAAATTTAAAATTTATGTCCACTGTTAGGATGTAGATCTAAAGCATTCCCCGAAGCCTCCTGTGTGTGGAGGTGATAGACCTCGGGTGCCATGTTTCTCAGTAGGTTCATCATGGACGAGTTCAGGGCTGATGCTGTCAGAGGTGGGGCCTGGCTGGAGGAGTCCCAGGGGTGACCTGGGAGGGTGAGCTCCTGTCCCCAGCTCCTCCCTTCTCTCTGCTTCTGGTTGCCTTGGGGTGAGCCATTTTGCTCCACCTGACTCTGCCACCCTGTCATTTGTACCTTGGAGGAGGCCAACATGGACTGCAACCATGAGCTCAAATAAGCCTCTCCCCCTTTGTGTTGTGGTGTGGAGCATTTTGTCCCAGGAGGGGAAAGTAGCTAAGACATTCACACACATCCACCAACTTATAAATGAGAGAACGTGACTTATGACTACATTCCAATGGAATTGTATTCAGCCATAGAAAGGAACGAAGTACTGACCGATAGTAGAATAGTGAATGAAAGAAACTAATCCCAAAAGACCACATAATGCACGATTCCATTATACGAAATGTCCAGAAGAGGAAAATTCCCATGCATAAAGAGTAGTGGCTGCCCAGGAATGAGGGGGTAGCAATGAGGAATGCTAATAGGCACTGGGTTTCTTTTGGGGGTGATAATTTTCTCCCAGAAGGTAAATTTGAGTCAGTTGTAGGAAAACAGATGCACTTTTAGACCATCATGTTAAGTGAAATCAATCAGACACACGAGCTTAAGAATCACACGGTTTCTCTTGTATGACAAACCCAGATTATAAATAAAGAGCAAAATAAAAGACAGACATCGAAAGTTGTGAGATGGAACTTTCCCCGATGGGAAGGGCACCGAGAGATGCAGGGAGGAGGGAGGGAGGGAAGGGGGTGAAGAAGGGCGAAGGGCGGCAGGTGTGCTATGCGCGTGGACAGCACCATACAAGGAGGGCAAACGTTAGGTCCCAAAACAAACATGGTAATGATGGTGGCTCACTCTGTACATACACAAAGCCACTGACTTGTACACTTCTGGAGGTTGAGATTTTACATTATGTAAGTTGCACCTCCAGAGAGAGGGCTGTTATAAAGGTGGGACTGACCAGGGAATGACCCCGGGGCTGCATGACCACCGAGAGAGGACCCCACCCTGAGAGGCACTCCGCCAGCTTTCTTTCCGTCTGCTTTCCCCTCTGCTTACTCCGTTTACTGGGTGGCATCTGATTACGGGCATCATCATGCTCACCTGCTCCCCCCACTTCCAGTTAGACCAGGTGATCTTCACCCGGCTCTGGGCTGCCCCTCTTTGTGATGAGCCTCCGTGTTCTCCCGCAGAGCCAGTCGGCCGGGCAGGGCCCCGCGCACTCTCAGGTTTGCACACGCGCTCAGGTTTGAACGTGCAGTCGCCCCAGAGCTTGGCCTTGGCCAGCTCATTATAGAAGCGCTTTCATTTGAAATTCCAAGCAAGCCTGTGCCACCTGTACCTAGGGCTCCGCACGCAGACGAGGGGCAGGTCTATTTTGTACTACTGGGCGTGTGGCTAGAACACAGTCTCTTCAGCTCTGCGCGCACCAGGGAGGAGAGAAAGACTGCAGACAGAGCAGGTCTGTTGTACGCATCGGACTGGATTTGGCAGGTGCTCCTAGCGGGAGAAGGAAACCATTATATTGCTAGAAAGGACATACGTTTCCCCAGTGACTCATACGGCACAGGGGGAGCCAGAAGCTGGGATTAGTAACCAGAGCAGGACTTCCTCCAAAGAGTCTGGCCTCACACCAAGATCTAAAAATAGAAAGCATGTGAAAAAGGCCCCTTCGAATCCCGGCTGCCAAGAGATCCTGCTCGGCCCTGGGGTAGCTGCCTGGCTTGCTCCCTCCCCAGGCCGTACCTGGCCACCGGAAGTGCCCTCAGTTGTTCCCCCACCTACAGTGCAAGAGCCTCAAGCCCATCTTCCGCACAGCCCACAGACGTCTGTCTGTAAAAAGCCGTGGCCATGATCCAGGAGATTCTGGCATTGCCAGCTAGGAAGCTCCTTCTCTTTCATGCATCCTGTGTCGCCTAGAGAGAAACAGACTTCTGATGGAATCTCTTGTAGCTACATAGCAAGTTTTCAGTTAGTTGTCCACACCCAGGAGACATGCTGACCCTTACTCCACTTCACATTTGAGCTTCCCAACTGAACTGACCCACTTCACAATCACAGACGTTAAGTGGCCAGGGTCACGGGGTGGGAAGGAGGTGGCACTCCCAGCCCTCCACAGTACACCCCATGCCCACCTCCTGAGCCATCAGAAGCCACCTCTGCCAGGAAGTCCCCCGGCTCTCAGAAGCCTCCCCAGTGGTGACCCCCTGTGTGCCAAGGCAGGTCTACACAGTGTCTTCTGTCCAGAAACTACAGGAATGGGTCATCTCTCTTTCACCGAGTTGTGACATAAAGTCCAAGCACAACAATAGTTCTTTACTTTCTCACACTTTAAAAATGCTTTTCCAATTAGTTTTTACTGTCATAAAATACACATGACAAAATTTCCCACCTTGTGCACATTAGGCATACAGTTCAGTGATATGAAGTATCCTCCTTTGTTGCAGAATTATCATCACCAGCCATCTCTGTCTCTGCAACTTCCTGTGTTAACCAGTAACTATGCTCCCCCTCACGCCACCTCTGGTCCCCACCAGGCTATTTTCAATCTCTGCAGCTCTGACCACTCTAAGCACCTTGTCTCAATGAAATAATAAAGGTGGTTTTCTTTTTGTGATTGGTTTATTTCACTGAGCACAATGTCCTTAGAGTTCTTCCACGATGGCCACGTCTCAGAGTCCTTTCTACCTCAAGGTTGAATAATTGTCCGTTGTGCATGCATCACACCTTGCTTACCTGTGCATCTGCAGTGGACACTTCTATCCCTCCACATTTTAGCTGTTGTTATCAATGTTGGTGTGAACATGAATGCACAGATATCCATTCAGAACTCTGATCCAATTTTTTTCTGTGTAGACTTCCTGTATCTTACGGTGATTCTATTTTTTAATTTTGTTGGTAACTGCCATAATGTTTCAATGACTGTACCAGTTTACAATACCACCAGCAAGACACAAGGGCTCCCATTTCTCTGCGTGCTCACCAACATTCGTTCTTTCCTGATGCAGGGTGGCAGGTGGTCCGGTGAATACGAGGTGGTCTCTCGTGGGCTTTGCTGCTCATTTCCTCGTAACTAGTGATATATTTTGGGTCTTAAAGATCCCCAAGGATCCACATTCTGGCACCGTGGCCCCTGGGGAGGTGCTGTTGGGCTTTAAGAGGTGGGGCCTAGGGGAGGTCTTTAGGCCACTGGGGTGCACCTTAAAGGAGATGGCGGCTGGCACTACCCTGCCACTGACTGCTACCGTGAAGTGCGGCTCACCACAGGCCC